ATCCATTTGAATTTACTTGACGCGGCGATTTTGCTCTCCGATAGAATAACTATCATACATCAAGGTTTTACCGGGATTTGAACCCAGATCGCCAAATTCAGAGTCTGGAGTGCTAACCGTTACACCATAAAACCATCCACTTATATATACTTGACGCAGCTCTTTTGCTCTCTGAAATAATAACTATCATATGCTAAGGTTTTACCGGGATTTGAACCCAGATCGCCAGATTCAGAGTCTGGAGTGCTAACCGTTACACCATAAAACCATACATACCAAATAACTTGACGCGGCGCTTTTGCTCTCTGATATAATAACTATCATATACCAAGGTTTTACCGGGATTTGAACCCAGATCGCCAGATTCAGAGTCTGGAGTGCTAACCGTTACACCATAAAACCATCCATTTGAATTTACTTGACGCGGCGATTTTGCTCTCCGATAGAATAGCTATCATACATCAAGGTTTTACCGGGATTTGAACCCAGATCGCCAGATTCAGAGTCTGGAGTGCTAACCGTTACACCATAAAACCATCCATTTGAATTTACTTGACGCGGCGATTTTGCTCTCCGATAGAATAGCTATCATATACCAAGGCTTTACCGGGATTTGAACCCAGATCGCCAGATTCAGAGAATGGAGTGCTAACCGTTACACCATAAAACCATCCATTTGAATTTACTTGACGCGGCGATTTTGCTCTCTGATAGAATAGCTATCATACACCAAGGTTTTACCGGGATTTGAATCCAGATCGCCAGATTCAGAGTCTGGAGTGCTAACCGTTACACCCTAAAACCATCCATTTGTATTTACTTGACGCGGCGCTTTTGCTCTCCGATAGAATAACTATCATATACTAAGGTTTTATCGCCAGATTCAGAGTCTGGAGTGCTAACCGTTACACCATAAAACCATCCATTTGTATTTACTTGACGCGGCGCTTTTGCTCTCCGATATAATAACTATCATATACTAAGGTTTTACCGGGATTTAAACCCAGATCGCCAGATTCAGAGTCTGGAGTGCTAACCGCTACACCATAAAA